ATATCGCAGGTTGTTAATGAGTCTTCCTCCAATCCTGATGCCACGTTTTTCTTCATAGAACCCAGCTTCTCGTATTATTTGCTCAGCATATAGAATCTACAAATTATGAACCTAGGAAAATTGTTGTTGTTATTGTTAGGTGCCCTTGAGTCAGTACCAATGAATGAAACACTGCCCAATCCTGGGCTAACCTCACTACTATTGCCACGCATAAGCCCATTGATGCTACCACTTTGAAGAAACCCTATACAGGGTGGCTATGGGTTGGAGCTGACTTGACGGCACTTAACAACAACAAAGTACCTACAAATGTAATTTAAAATAAAACCTTCCTACTCACCACTCTAAATAAATCAGAAACTCTGGTTTTTTTCTGCAGGCATGAATATTTTTAATGTTTACTAATTGGTTCCAATAAGAAGCCTAGTTTAATGACTAATAACAAGCTTGTTACACCTAAATTTCATAAATTGATAAAGTGATGAAACGGTGCATCAATAATTGACATGAACTGTTGGAAGGGGGGTTGATTGTACTTTTTATTTCAGGAAAGTTGTGCATTTCATCAGTATGCCTGAGTCATAGATGACAAACACAGAAAGCTCTATAGGTAGCATAGAACTCAAGTGTTTTTGTTGTTAAATGTTGGATAAACCAGTTTTGATTTATAGCGACCCTGTATAGAGTTTCTAAAGAGTGACTTCTGGGTTTCAACTGCCAATTTTGTGGTTCAACCCAACCTTGCTGTCCAGTGCTTACAATGCTAAACCAGGACTCCTAGAACTCAAATGGGCATATATTAGAGAGTACCACAGAAGAAACCCTCCAGTCCTCTTCCCCACAAATAGGGCAAATGAAAAATATTTGAATTGAAGCATCAATGAAAACAAAGAAAGCAACAAGAATTATGGGACCCAAGGGGCATGCATTTCAGTTCCACAACAATGATTTTTTTGCCTATTCTTATGCATAGACATTAGACTGTACTGATATTGATATTATTCTCATATGCTGAGGAACGTCTGCAAGGCCTTCTTGATATCCCTGTTCCTCAGGCTGTAGATGAAAGGGTTCAGCATGGGTGTGACCACACAGTACATCACTGAAGCTACTGCACCACTCCTGAGAGAAGGGGAGATAACTGAACTCAGGTACACACCCATACCTGTTCCATAAAATAGGAAAACAACTGACAGATGAGAGCTGCAGGTAGAAAAGGCTTTATACTTGCCATCGGATGAAGGGATTCTTAGTATAGAGGAAACAATTCTTGTGTAAGAGAAAAGGATCCCTGAGATTGGACCACCACCAAGAATGGCAGCAATACAATAGACTAGAATATTTTTGATGATGGTGCCAGAACAGGCAAGGTTGAGGAGTACAGAAGGGTCACAGAAAAACTGAGGAATTTGCACTTCTGGGCAAAAGGTAAGTTGTGACACCATCAAACAGTGCAGCTGGGAGTTCAAGAGGCTGAGAAAACAAGACACCAAAACTAGCAAGCCACAGAGGTAAGGGTTCATAATAACTGGGTAGTGAAGTGGGTGACAGATGGCCACAAATCGGTCATAAGCCATCACTGTAAGGAGTAGGTTGTCTATACATCCAAAAAAACCGAAAAATGACAACTGAATCAGGCAGTCGACATAGGAGATGATTCTGTGGTGTGTGTGGATATCCAGAAGCATCTTTGGGATCGTGGCAGAGGTGAAACCAATGTCAGCCAAAGACAAGTTAGAGAGGAAGAAGTACATAG